CAACACATTAATTTCGAATGACCGTCGAACGGACACCTCACGCAACGCTGGCAGACAGACATAGGCAAAAACTATGTGTTCTAGTTTTAATGAGGCTATGTATGCTTAATTAAACGCACATGTAACATGACAAGCTAAACAGGGTTACTAAACAGTATCCTTCAAGTCTCAGCAGTAAACATACCAAAGTCTATTGAATAAAAATTTCCTTGGATATTATCCATCGTCTAGTAAATATAAAACGTAAAAAACGACGTTTCGGAGATGAAGACGGAGATAGAGTCCCATCTCCGAAACGTCGTTTTTTACGTTTTATATTTACTAGACGATGGATAATATCCAAGGAAATTTTTATTCAATTGACTCTTCACCATCGTCAAGAAGTTTTAGATTTGATATACCAAAGTCTCTTCATTTCCGTGGGCAACTGAAATCCCTTAAATCGGTTAAGTGTGTTTTTAGTTATGTTGAAGAGGATTACCGTTTGCAATACAATTATTTTTCTGATACAAGAATATGACTAGAATAGCCTGAAAGCAAAATAAACATTTCTTGTTAAGAGATATCTGTTAATTAAGAAGCAAAGTGAGACTCACACAAGTAATGAGGGCAAAGCTTCCTCTGGGCAATGAAGTACTAGAAGGGATGTGAAAGCAAGGCTCTACAAGTAACAAGAAGTATGAGAAGAACTGATTGTGAGACAAGACGTGTCTTTTTAAAGCATCAATGTCAGGGCAACCCACGATATTGAACGCTCCTGCACAAAAATATGGCTTTAAACCGCAGCTGTAGATTTTTAAAAAAACCTTCTCAGGTTGTAGAATTATATGAATTGTCAATGAAAGAGATATCAGACCGTTCATTTTGAGTAACCTGACATGCTTATTGGTTTACCGGTCACTTCTCGGCAATGACGAACTTAAGAGGGTTTTTAGCTTTTACATAATTCAGACACAAAAAAATGTCCGTTGTTTGAACACTCTGCTGACAATTTACATGACACATGTCCAATTCATAATGAATACTTATGGGAATTTTTCCGGAACTCTGTGAATTATTAAAAAAACTAATTCCGCGATATTACTTCCGCTGTAGGGAAGTGGCTTATAAATTGTACAATTCGAACAAAGGAGTACGTTTTGTTGAAGGTTAATGTTCTTATAATAATTGCACACGCCTTGCAAATCACGACCTTCCTTCATGTTCCCCCTCTCCACATATTTCCAGCAGTATACAACTTCCAGCTGGCTTGGTCCAGCACATTTCTTGATTTCGCCTCGAAGCAAAGAGACCGCTGTTGAACAGGTATGTGGCAATGACCAAATAATTTATTACGCGCCATAAATTTGTGTTTAGTTTTATTCGTTTCACTTCACTACTTCGATTTACAAAGTGTGCAGTATTAAAGTATATTGATAAACCTAAAATTATTTGTTGCCAGGACTTTTTCCAACGTCTGTTTTTAAAATTCACGACATTTCGGAGGCTGGTTCTGCCTCCGTCTTCAGGTGAGAGGTACCTACTCTGCCTCTCACCTGAAGACGGAGGCAGAACCAGCCTCCGAAACATCATCAATTTTAAAAAACAGACAATGGAAAAAGTCCTGACAATGAATAATTTTAAGAGTGAACTACCGTCGTCAAAACCCTTTAGAATTGAATTATAGTGATAAAGTTTACTTCAGGCCATCTAGACAAACTCTGGAATAGTTTATCAACTAGTACACCTATTAAAATTTCCACATAAAATTTTTTGCAGTCTCTGAAAGCGCCAATACAAATTTCAGCTCAGTCATTTGATTATAACATACCCAACCATATCATATTTTATAAAAAATTCATAACTTGCACATCATTTCTATTTGAATAATAAAAATAATAATAATTCAATTAATTTATTAGTGTATATGTAACATTTTTAGTAGGTACACAGAAAATAAAATGGAGTCCCTTTGTCTTAACAATGTAAAAGTCTAGTGGTACCTGTATTTACTACCTGCTCGAACGATCAGTAACTTTCCATTTTGTATTCATGGATTTTGAACGAATCTCTGTGTAAACAGGGATTATTTTCTTAAAAATATTAATCAATTTAACTTTATAATGGCGAAATGGTGTTCCTTTGCGATATGGTCAAAATTCTGAAATATTATTTAGGACTGCTTTGGCTCCAAAGGTTTAATTATCGTACGTAGTATCCATTATTAAAATCTGTATACAAAGTTAAAAAGATCTGGAGATTATTTTTTGTGCGAAAGCTTAGACTATTTAAATAGATTTAAAATTAAAGCTTGGCTTTGGAATAAATGTTGTCCGTTTGTCTCGATATTCAGTAATAAAGGTCTTTTGTACTGTTTGTCCAGAATTATATGACCGTACTTCAATTAACGATTGTGTCGATGGTAATGTTATTTGGTAATTTTAATTTTGGCAATTCGAGTCATTTGTACTGACTGCAATTTATACAGTTACTGTAAGTAATGTCCGTATTCTGAAATAAAACAGCCAAGCAGCAATCCCCACCAAGATTTCAGACCAGTAAAACAAGTTCGCCTTCGTTCGCGTAATAAAAATAATCTGGGTAAAGACTTTCTCCGAAATTCCTCCAACTCTCACATCACATCATCCTAAAATGTCTCATTCCAAAATGTAAATTTCATAGAGAAAAACACAGAAGCTGTATTATGACTTTGGTCCAGAAGCAACTGAAGTTCTGAATACCGTACTGATAAAGTCTATGTAATAGAGAGAAAAATAGGCAAATAAATGTGAATTCAGATCTCGGAATGTGGTCTGCTCTCATAAATTGCATTCCTACCGATATATAAATCACATTAAAATAATTATAAAATCAAAATAGGTGTCAAGGTGGCAACTGTAAAATGATGATATGCGGATATGACAGAATATTATTTTACTTTCTGATTTTGATAAGTTTTAGTTAGATTTTGAAGTTAATACCTTATAATATAATATAATATAATATAATATAATAGCTTATTATTTAGCTAGTTCATTAGTTAGCATAATTTTCGTAATTTGTAGGCTGCGTAGGGAAAATAATCTCGCTAATCACTTTTTGATTCATTAACTGAAATGCAATTTCTCAGAGCGAGTATTGTAAAACATTGTACCTCTCGCCGAAATGATACGTTATGTCCAGAAATATCCATCCTGTGCTGTGTCAATCCCATATCACACATTTTTAAAGTTAAACAAGTGTTATGTAAATATAGTTACTGTAATTTCCGTGAAAGTTGAACTGTGGTTGCTTGTTACCGCTAGAGCCAGTCAGTTAACTCGAAACACTACTCTTAAGTAACCAACAGAAGCTAATTCGTATTTTATCTTATTCTTCTTCGATTCACGCAATCAAAAGCGTACGTAAAAACGGATACAAAATTTGCATTACAAAATATACTACATTTGTAACGCTGAAGCAAAATTTGGCATAATCAATATCCAATAAGCAAGAACCCTTTCCAGGCCGTATGTTTATGTCGGCGAGATTTAAAAAGAAACCATTTCGTGTTAATAAAACACTACAGAACGAATTTTGAAAATGTTGCAGATGCAAAATAGATCTAATTGTTAACGACAGTAACAAACCAAAACATTCAAAATCAAATTACGATCTCAACTGAATTCGGGGGATTATTTCCTATTATCCGGTTCAGAATCTTTCATCTTCCTGACGCCTGTTCAAAAATGTAATAATTTTACCTGTTGCTTTGTATGGGTGTAAAACACGGTCCTTCGAAGGAAAACCTAGACTGTAGATGTTTGAGAATAAAATCCTGAACAGAACATCTGGACCTAAAAACATGAAGTAACAGACGAATGAAGAGCTTCAACATATATTGCTGTAGTGATTAAACCAAGGAAGATGAGATGAGATGAGATAGAAATGCAGCACACAAGGGGAAGATGAAAAACGGATACAGAATCCCAGAAGGAACATATGAAGGGAAGAGACCACCGGAGGGGCCCAAGAGTGACGAGAATAATATTAAAATGTATCTTAATGAAATATGTGTACAAATATGGTTTAGGATAGAGTCCAGTAACGGGCTTTTTCGAACTGTTCCGCTAAACGTTTCGACCAGCTAAGCGACTGTAAGCATTTTAACGAAGACCCTTGCGCATGGAGTTGGTTAGTTTGTTGCAATACTTCTTGTATATTGCGAGACATATATCGTGCTTACTTACTACGCACGTTCGAACACTGACAAAACAACGTTCCAATAACTTCATATTCTTGACAAAAAATGTAAAGTTACTTTTGCATTAATTCGGTAAATTCACTCTTGATAAACGTCTTGTAGTGAAAAATGCATAAATGAAGAGCTCATTTTCCTTATGAGAGTATAACTCTCTGGTGGTAAACAATTATATACCATTTACAACAGTGAGTAAAATGTTTATGTAATTGAGTGTAGAATTCTGTTAACATTTTAAGAAACATTGTCACCATCATCTTCCATCAACGTTACGCCGTCGTCCAACATATGGCCGCGTAAGAGAATTAAAACGACATTAATAAAGGGGTAATACACAAAAACGTTTAAATTAAGAGTTTATAAATGGAGAAATGACTGCATATTTCGGACAAAATTGTATAGAACATGTTCAGTAGCCGGTACAACTTCCGTCTTAAGTTAATACTTGGGGCTGGTTCGTTATACCTTCCACTTTCTCCTCAACTTTGCCGATTGTTACTTATTATATGCGTTGAAATTCTATCCAAATTATCGAGACTGCAATGCCTCGACTGAGTAACCCAAACAAGAAACAGCAGAGTGGAAATGTACAAATCTTGTCTTTGTTACAGACGTTAAAATTTTACAATAGCAGATAAAGTTGGGGTGCATAAAACTATTCACCACCTTTGGTATCATGGCTCCATAACATAGGTGTCTGAAATTCCAATCCACTCACTCAGCACTGAATTAAATCAATACCCCTCCCATAAAAACTGAACTTCCGATTTTTATGGTATTAGAATTTTCTTCCAAAAAGAGTTTCAGCACAAGTGACTTCCACTTTCACCTTATCGGGATCTCACACCATCACGATCCACTCTACCGTTAATGTAACTCTGTCTCTGGTCCACATAGTAAGATCCCTTTCTCTCACTAACTCCAGTCATTACTGACGGTGAAAAACCTGAGAGGCAAAATATTAGATCACACAAGAAAAGGAAGAAACTCTGCATAATTCTTCGATAACTTGTATTTCTATGCTTGATATTTGCTGATACAACTTTAGATAGGAGGCATAAAAGTGTACCTCCTTGTCCTACTCCATTCAATGTGATCAACTCTCAAAGGTCAAAGCAAGTTCTGACCTCAGTTTATAAAGATTTTTATTCTTCCACTGCAATAAATGACTGAATAATGAATGGATGTAGATAAAGATTTCTGTCTTCTGGGTTGTTGCGCTGTGTAGTCTGGTCGCTGTTTACCAACGTTTCAGAGGTCATACTGCCTCCGTCATCAGGGCGGTGAGTATGAAGATTTCTGTCTTCTAGGTTGTTGCGCTGTGTAGTCTGGTCGCTGTTTACCAACGTTTCAGAGGTCATACTGCCTCCGTCATCAGGGCGGTGAGTATGAAGATTTCTGTCTTCTAGGTTGTTGCGCTGTGTAGTCTGGTCGCTGTTTACCAACGTTTCAGAGGTCATACTGCCTCCGTCATCAGGGCGGTGAGTATGAAGATTTCTGTCTTCTAGGTTGTTGCGCTGTGTAGTCTGGTCGCTGTTTACCAACGTTTCAGAGGTCATACTGCCTCCGTCATCAGGGCGGTGAGTATGAAGATTTCTGTCTTCTAGGTTGTTGCGCTGTGTAGTCTGGTCGCTGTTTACCAACGTTTCAGAGGTCATACTGCCTCCGTCATCAGGGCGGTGAGTATGAAGATTTCTGTCTTCTAGGTTGTTGCGCTGTGTAGTCTGGTCGCTGTTTACCAACGTTTCAGAGGTCATACTGCCTCCGTCATCAGGGCGGTGAGTATGAAGATTTCTGTCTTCTAGGTTGTTGCGCTGTGTAGTCTGGTCGCTGTTTACCAACGTTTCAGAGGTCATACTGCCTCCGTCATCAGGGCGGTGAGTATGAAGATTTCTGTCTTCTAGGTTGTTGCGCTGTGTAGTCTGGTCGCTGTTTACCAACGTTTCAGAGGTCATACTGCCTCCGTCATCAGGGCGGTGAGTATGAAGATTTCTGTCTTCTAGGTTGTTGCGCTGTGTAGTCTGGTCGCTGTTTACCAACGTTTCAGAGGTCATACTGCCTCCGTCATCAGGGCGGTGAGTATGAAGATTTCTGTCTTCTAGGTTGTTGCGCTGTGTAGTCTGGTCGCTGTTTACCAACGTTTCAGAGGTCATACTGCCTCCGTCATCAGGGCGGTGAGTATGAAGATTTCTGTCTTCTAGGTTGTTGCGCTGTGTAGTCTGGTCGCTGTTTACCAACGTTTCAGAGGTCATACTGCCTCCGTCATCAGGGCGATCGGCCTGATGACGGAGGCAGTATGACCTCTGAAACGTTGGTAAACAGCGACCAGACTACACAGCGCAACAACCTAGAAGACAGAAATCTTCATACTCACCGCTGTGAAAACCTCAAATCTTACGGATATAGATATGCTACACAAATGTCTATGTATTTAATATAAGGGTTAGTAAAGAATTAAAGGCAATTTTCGTAACAGTTTCATAAAAATAATCACACAGGAGAAGTATTTTTTTTCTTCAATCTAGTGACAAGGTTAAGAATGCATGGAGCTGCAAGAAGTTAAGACTTTAAAATGAAATGTTAGGTTTTAAAATACGGCATCGAACGTTATCATATCGAACTATCTTTAACTTTTTAACAGTAGCGATATTTCTCATATGCTTCTAGTGTGTTTGACAGACCGTGTATAATTGAATTTTCCACATTCAGCAAATAAACATTCATATTTATTTTCACGTGTATGATTGAATCTGCATTGGAGGAGGGTTTGCTGTACTCCACTCTAGTTTATGAAATGCAACTCTGAAAATTACATTGCATGCAAAATGTTTGCACATATGCAGTAAAGATGTACTGTTTCAGGACATGATGACGGTGTCATATGGACTGTGCGTTTTACTGCTGGCTGTGATTCCTGCATACATTACTGCTTACAAATCTGGAGCTCCTGAGTCTGTATGTGGCTCCATGATACCAGACCACCATTCCGAACCTAAGTCTGAACCATCACCCTACACCATCACTCCTAATAAGCTTAACATTGAGGCTGGCAAATCCATAGAAGTGACCATCTCTGGAACTGATAACACCAAATTCAGAGGATACTTTATTCAAGCTCGTGTGGGTAACACTCCCATTGGAAAATTTGCGACGGGGCCAGAAATCAACTTGGTCGACTGTGGCAGTGGAGTCGGGGTAAGAGACGCATCTCAAACAAATTTATTAATGAGGTTGATGGATATGCGATGGCACTAGGATATTAGTTCTTAAGAGTTCCTTATCAGACACACTTCTAACCATTTTCCATACTAGAGCTCCAATTTAAGAATACAAGACACACCATTTTTGTAGGAAATGGACTCACTTTATGCTAATAGAACCCAAAGATAAAATGTCACTGCCATCAACACTCACCTCTGGGCATGATCGTGATCCAGTCTAAACAAACTAATACCATCAGAAAAATATGTGGGTATTTTACAAGTATAAAAACTGTGTCATTATTAATGTATTAGCTGCAGACATCTGTTAGATAAATATTTAGGCAGTGATAGATACAGGCTGCTTCAGCTGATAATCCAGGGAAAAGTATTCGGAAAGAGGGGACCTCGCAGGCCAAGAATCTCCTGGCTTCAGAACCTAAAAACTTGGTTCTCGATGTCCACTGGAGGTCTGTTACAAGTAGCAGCTAGCCAGTAAAACTCAAATCGCTATGCTGATCACCAGCATCCGGAACGGATAGGCACTTTAAGAAGAAGAAGAAGAAGACCTGGACTGATGTATATACATGATAATTAAGGAGGGTCTGGCAAACTGTAGGTACATTAGTGAGTTTGAGTGTAAAGAAAATAAATAAAAATAACCTATTAAAACTGGTCCAATTCATATAGAAAACATAGGTAAGGTATAAAATACATACAAATTTTGTTCAGAAACTTGAAGGAAATAGAAAACTTGGGAGATCTAAACATATATGAGATGACAATATTAAGATGGAATGTATACAAATAGGATGTGCTATGATGACTGGAATCAAATGGGTAAAACAAGTTATGTCAATCCTAGTCAAATTATAAACTTAAACAATTGCTAATGAGAAGAAATTAATGGATAAAGTGACTCATACACACACGAAAAAGTGTAACATTTCCACCTTCATTCCAATAACAGCTCAAGTTTCAATTTCCAACCTCTACAGTTTAAGCCTACTGATATCATGTGAGCACATTTTAAAGCTTCAAGTTATGATTAACATGAACATTATTTCTATGTCTAGTCTGCTGCCACCCACACTGACAACAGAGACAAAGACTCAATTACATTAAATTGGACGGCACCTGCTCGTCTCTCAGAAAGTGTTCGTTTCCGGTAAGTCCTATATCACCAGTACAGCAAGCATGTATTCTTTAAGACTATACTGCAGCTCTATAGTAAGTTTTGTGTAAAATGTAGAACCATCCTGGATCCCAAAAATGCCATTTCTGGCTTCTTGTTATTGAAAGAAACTAGCTGTGAAAAACTGAGGTATACTATCGGATTTCAGTACAAATATGTAATCAAATTTCCTTATTACCTGATTAATAGCCAAGGACATTCGTTTGTCATATGTCAAAATACAAACCAATTATTTTCTGCAGATCTATAAAATGAACCTGCAGATGGAATTACCTATGTTGTGATGAACAGAAAATGGCTGTTAAAAAAAATTATTTTTAACAGTTGATGTGTCAAAAAATGGAAATAAATATCATGACCTAAAGAAAAGGCAGTACTTGACTTGAGGGAATGAGAGAAACTCTTGATAAACCCAGGTGAAACATATTAAAGGGGAAAAAAAGATGAAGCATGGAGCTAAGAGACGTAAATGCACATGGTAAATGTCACAAATCTGCAAGCCTGCCACACACATGCATAAAAATGTGCACAATAGTTCATTAAAAACATGATATGTATAAATGAAACTTCTGTATACTGCCGACCAGAGTAATGGAAAGATTGCAAAAAGATTTTCCAGCTTGTATGAACAGCACATCTGTCTTTTAGAAACACTACGCCCACCTGAGCGAGTAGATGCACTACTGCCATTCATCTGTGTAGAATGAAAATGAGCATGCACAAACAGTAGTTGATACATAATTGGCCCAACAAGAAACTTATGTGAAGGCACTTAAACAGTCACTCTAGAGTCAGCTGAATTACCATCAATTACACTCATGTCTTCTATAAAAGCACCAGGATCTGAGAGATCTAAAATGCAGCTCCTTGTGCCTTCTGTAAACAGCACGAGCACTTTCAGAAACACATGCGAAGTCCAAATGCATGTCCACGAGGGATGAAGTACAAACAAAAGGTGGTTGAAAATTTGGTTGACCAAAACATCTACTCACAAAAATATGTCTGGTTGCAGATGTGCAGTGCATAGGGTGCGGTTCCGGTGAGTTATGAAGTCTACAGTGTTCAGGCCATTATTTCACAGGAAGAACTCCTTCACTACTTAAATATTTCTCTTGCTTAACATTAATAAATTAACAAGAGTTTTCATAATAAAATTAAAATGTATGAAGGTATGTAGGGGATTCAGAAGTAAAGTTCCAAGTATTCTGTACCTCAGCAGTGGACAGAGGTGAGTTTCGAGTTTCAGATTCTAGCTACTGCTATACAATGACAAGGAAACACTGGACAAAAGGCTGAGTAAATTACAGAGCCAACCTGAAGGCAGCTGGGAGAATAAATATCTTTGCCTCTGAACAAGCAATCATAACATACACTACATTTATTTATTTGCGGTTTCCATATCAACTTCTGCAGTCATGATGTTTGAAGTAAAACTTATGTCAACCTATATTGTAGTAGTTCATTTATGTCATTGAATACAGTGTCAGGGTATTAGAAATATTTAAATGAAATATCCTAAATAGTAAGGTAGGAAGGTAATATTTTCAAGCAGTCAAGGACATAATGGTTACTACTAATAAATAAAAAAGAGTATTTCCTTGAAAACTGTCACTGTTCCCGATGCTCTATTCTAGAAAAACAAGAAGTTTTTGTTGTTGACAGAAGCACTTAAAAATAGTGCAAAACCTTTTTTGAATACTAATATCTTAACTGTAAGAAGCTAACAAAATAAGTATTTCAGATATATAATTAAGTTACATACATACTTTATTTACAGTGCAGAATATGCCAACCAAAAATGCTTGTGTACAACTTCTGGCAAAACATTATGGGAATAACTACTAATCACGTATAAATGATTTTTTGTCAGTAACTATGAACATGACTCATACTGTTTAGTTTACCACTCTCAGGTTAAACAATTAAAATCAATACTATTAATTTTCACACCAATTTCCAAAAAACAAAAATATCATGATCAAATGGTATGCTAAGCTATGGGACAAAGCATCCATAAATTAATCGGTATAAATACAAGGATAATCCACATTCATAAACATGTACATCTGCATTGAACTTTATTAAGAAGACAGGGAAACTTTCTGGTTTGTTACTGGAATATTTCCACAAACACTTCTTTCACAATTGAAGATTTAGATACAAGTATAATCCCTGTGCAATATCCAATACTACCATGTACTCTTATACTAAATGACTTTATCTTCAGGAATGTATACATTCATAACCCCAAAAAAGAATTTCTTAGTGAAAATTATACACCTATAAATGATGGAACTAACCTTTGTGCAAACTGACTGGGAGTCTATGTGTTCCTGTCACATGTCTTCATATTGCCTATTGCCACAGCTTACCAACATATCACTGCAATCATCCTGGATGTGTTAGTCTCTGAATGACTAAATGTGAGCATTATGGTTGCTGAACAACTATGCCATCTATCAGCTTATGAAAGCAACACCAGGAACTTATTTCATAGGAAGAGTGAGACTATCTAAGGGCATGGATATGAAAAGAAAGAGATATCTCAATATAATTTTCCAGAGATGAAGAAACTATGAAAATGTTCAACTATGATTCTTTCCTTATTATATTAGTCATGGTAATAATGTCCCATTTCATGCTGGGCCAAAAGTAGCACAACCATCCTTTTTGACCAGTATAACATTTAGCAACTGTGTAATTTCTACGCATTTAAGCAAGAAAGAAATATGTGAACTGGTTACTGCCATGTCACTACCAATCTGTAACACGTTTTTAGTTTGTTCAAAATTATTCATTTCAATCACAAATACACTCAGATTAAACAATGAGCATTTGAATTCAATTGCCAGAATTGAAAGAATGGAAGGTCAAAGACAGAGTGAAGTACTACAGCGCTTGAAAATTGGCAATGAAAACTTAATATTCATATTAAAATTATCACATTACAATGGAAATTACAGCAGCTTAGAGCGTTTCATAATACATTCTGTGAACTGAACAATTTGTAACTTACATCTTATAAATAAATTAATGAGTCACTTCTTATGTTTACTTGTTTCAGTACTACTTTTGTAAAAACTGGGCCTGAATACTGGGTTGGTCAAGAATCTGATCCCATCACTGTAAAATAAAGGTAAGTATTATTTAAAAAAAATCAGTCACACATCTCAACATTCTGAGTTTCTGAGAAGCATCTTGTTGTCAATGGTGAATACTACTGAAAGGAAACAACTAACAAAATACAGTCATTTGCCAAACCATAAACATTATCTTTACATATATGCATATAATCTGAACACTATCTTTATGAAAGTACAAAATAAAAATTATCATTCCTTTACTTTATTGGCAATGTGCAGTTTTCTTTATTGAAACTATGTATAGCAGAGCAAACATACTACAGCTAATTCGTATGAAGAGATCAGATATTTTGAGGGTAAAAATTCAGAGTTCATTCCAAATTTGTTACAATCAGAGCTAGGATAGCTTAGTCAATACAATTAACAGGTTACAGAGTGGATGATTGGGGGTTTGATTCCCAGCAGGGGCAGACATTTTTCTTGCCTTCAAAGTGTCCAGTGCCCACCAAGCTTCCTATCCAATGAGTGGTTATTGGGAGCCCTTTCCCTCGGCCTAAAGCAGCTGGGATGTGAAGTTGAATATTCACCTCCACATACTATAAAGGTTAAGAAACATGGAGCTATACCTCCATTCTACACATCTTCAAGGTGTGGTGCTTAAGCAAGCAAGGCAATGTTATCTCTTTCACATTTACAGTAAAAATCAGTTCATCTTTGGAATATTATGGTCACTTGTTCAACAATAAAACACCACTTCTGTATTTATCCAACATATACATGGGCATATTTAATTATGTTTGGGCGATACACCTAATGACCTGCAACATACCTTCCAGTGAGCAAAGCCCCATTAAATGGCAAATCTTACCTTAGACATACATAACCATAAAACTTTTAGTCAGAAACAAGTCCCCCTTTATTATAGGAATTCATATAGAAAACTGATTTGTTTAGTGTTTTATCTTTCAGGTATACAATGATGTTACTAATAGAGGGACACCTCTAAACAATTCCAGTATAACAGAATTGGGACATCTGATTTATAAGAAGATGGCTACAGTATAAATAAATTTCACCGCCAGACTGACAGAAGCAAGTCCAAAAAGAAATGTCGAAACACAATTTGCATTTACACTTTACATACAACTTTTATAATGCACAGAATACTTTCAATAGTTGTAGCTTTTCATATCACAGTTTACAATTCACTTAAAGGTTTATCACGTAAATATGCTTGATAGTACCTAGAGGCAATTATAAACTGATAATCTGTATGTACTGATGCATTTCTTGTATTCAAATATAAGGCAGATGTAATATAATTCTACAATTCCTTAATAAACTAAAACCAATGTTCCACTAATACTTGAGCTACATTATCAACATTATAACATAATTATTTCATGCTAATACAAAAACATTAAATATATTTTCTGTATGTAAGCAGATGCATAGTAAATTATTCTTTGTCTTGCTTTATTCTTTGTGACAGTATTAAACTCATTTTATTTAAAATTCATGTAAAAATGAATCTTTCAAGTATAGGATTCTGTATAGAAAACATTCCCATCAGGTAGTGCTGCTGGTTATTGCCAAGCTTAACCCCTTCCATGCTGAGATTTATCAGGAAGTTCTTTCATGGTAATGTATAAATTCAATTTATGGTATATAGAAAATGGTTATATTCAGACAGAGGCCAGTGGTTATTCAGCTCATGTGGGCACTCAAGTTTCTGGCTAATAAACTGAATGGTCACGTCACATAGCAACACACCTCACCACAAAACCACGTGCTTCCATTTGGATACAGCTTCAGGCATCAAAATACTATGTTTATCACTAATCCCACCAAAAATATACATTAAAGAAGGGCCAGTCTCAAAGTATTATGCATCATACATAGTATGGGGGAATGGGATTTGCAAACAGAAATATATGTCATTTTTGTCACAGAATGTAACACGCATTTCAAAAATAAGGGTCTGAAGAATAATTTCTACAAAGTCTGCTTAACTACAGGAGAAAATTATTTCAATGGGTGTGAGAATACTGAAGCATTAACCTTCTGAGCAGTCACTGTCATTGACATGAACTGAGCTTAGCTTTATTTTTATTGAAGCTGATGAACAACAGTTTGTCTGGAAAGCTGCAAATGCACATACAATATTTGTAACAGTCTGTTTCAAAACTTTAAGGCTGCAGTAGGGTCTTCACATCCATCATTTTCTGGAAAACATATCTTTGTATTTTATAAACTTCAAGGTTCATTCATTACCATGTTCTACCCTGTGCAAATCAAAATTAATATTCAATTAAAAATACAAAACAAGGTAAGAACTGAGAAACCTTTTGATGACTAGTTAATGGAATTGCCTGTCATACCACACTGAAGTTTAATAGGATGGAGGCATAAAACTTAGTAAAACTGTAGTTCTGCATGTCATCACTTTAATAGTAACGCAGTGTGAGGCGAGTTTTGTGACGCACTGAACTAAATAACTATGCACAGCAATAATTTTTTTTTGAATTAACATCCACTCAATCATCAGCATCATCCAGTTTCTCTTTGGCCAAAATATGTTAGTATCATACTTTCTTTTCTTCCAGCACTGAACATGTTATTCAAACCTTTCTCACTATTCTGTATGTTGCTGATTATAGACGACTTCAGTGACAGCTTTCCAAAATTAACACTCCACGAAAAAATATACAAGAAAATCCTTTGTTCAATGCCCTGCTCCAATTAACCACCACAATCAATCATTGACATTAAATTATGTCAGCCATTAGAATAAAATTGCTTTCATCTGTAATATTAAGTTACAAACAACAGATTTAAGTGTATAAAAAAGTAAAAATTTCAAGACATGGCTGCATGACAGAACTCAGGCTCTGGAACAAATGTGAACAGATCATAATTCCCTTTAGCACCAAAGACATTCCAATGAACAACGGGTATTCTGATTTCAACAGCCACAGCTAACTGTACTTCAACTGTAGACTAAAAAACAAGAACTTAAAATTACAGTTCCTGAAAAAATATTTTATTGTGTTACTATAATACACATATTTGTGGCACACAAAAACAAAACAGAAATGCACTGTGCATATTGTTGTATAATTTTCTCAGTGGCAAAAAAATGCATGACAGTGAAGACTGTTGTCATTTATTTTCAAGATAATACACTGATAATCATAAATTACAATTCCTAGGAATGAAAATTCCTTATTAAATAAGAATAAAGAAAATTAATCATGTTGAAATAACTGTATTGTTTTGTACTTACCTGTACAGACAATGAAGGCCTTGATTCTCATATACTGTAGGAATATAAATTTCTTTGAGGAATTACGTTACAAGAAGGGCAAACCACACGAGAATATCAGAGTCAAGGGATCTGTACATGCAGTATGTGCTACAGGAAACATAAATGAATACATTTAATCATACATTTTTTGCTGATCACTGATCAAAAAGCGTATATGATCTGGCAAGTATTGCAGTCAATACTACAGAATATGAATAAAGAAGAATAAATTAACACTGGTTGCTAACTGCAGTAGGCAGTTAAAACACACACTACGCACAACCCAGCAATAACAGTAGGAAAATTTAAACACAGTTATGCTGCATATTACCTTACACACTCCTTCAGCTGTAACTTAATCCATCTTAAAATGAGCCACCTTAAAATATGTGTTGCTTTAAATTGCTTTCCATATTTGTACTTAATTAATTCCAAACTTAAACATAATTAAGTTACTATGATACAGAACAGATTAAAACAGTATTAATATGTCCACATTATATCAGTTATTACCAACATTTGTCCAACAATATTTTGGATTAGCACACAAGCAAATAAACCAAAAAGATACACTCCAGGGAGTTTCAGAATACCAACACGTAATGGGTACTAACAATTCAGCAGAACTTCCACCTGTTTCCACATTCGTTGCACATGACAAAAGTTGTCATAGGTTCATCAGCACTCCTCGTCTGAACCTGTAACAATATTTTATGTTACCTATAGAAACAAAGTACAAGGGCGTAGCTAGATTCGAATGGCTCAGGATGGGGTCCAGTGGAGGGTAATTTATTGTCCAGCTCTTTAAAATTGGGTGTCTTACCCCTATTGGTCCATACTTCAAGGCAAGTGCCTCTACTTCCTTTTTTCAACCTTTCAATCTCCACACAAATTACAGTGTACACTATTTTGCATCTGCTTGGCCTAATACAACACACCCCCACTACACGCAGGTGTTACTTTCTTGAAAATCCCTGTGAAGTCTAGCAATGTTAAGGTCTAGACATCTTAGTGGTCAAAGATCATGACCAACAATGCATTCACCAAAGAACTACTGTTGTAAAGCAGCAATGTTTTTTCAACATTGCAGAGTTTCTCACCTGTCAACATTGTCTGACACCAGCCATGTTCCCAGTCAGAAACATTTCCTGTGTCCTAAACTTTAATTACCTTATTCAGAACATCCTCATCAGCTAAATGCTTCATAAAAGTAAAACAATTTTGATGCAAAGTAATGTGCAAGAATAAACATGCGTTCTGCTCGTAAATACGATCTGTCTGCATCTACGTAGCTTTCGCGTAACTGGTGTGAACGGTGATCCGAGTGCCACGCGAAAGTTGGGAGAGAGTATTTTACACTGGAGTGAACCTACTTCTGATTTTGTTTTAGTATTGTAGTATGTGATTATTGTTGGGCTACATTTTGCATGAGTACATCCTGTGTAACATTAATATGGGAATTCCTTGAAAAGGTGCGTATACAACCAACTTTTTACAAGTCAGCACCAGTTATTTTAAGAACCAACAAAACATGCCCCATAATTTCATTAATTATGTCAGCAATATCAGTACAGCTGTTACTACTTGCATGCAGAAATGAAATTAACTGTGAAGAGCAAAAAGTTCCTATAGGATACATTTCTACACAATCACTTGCCTGATTGTATGTGCAATTCCTTTTCTTACACTTTCCACACTTGAGCAAGTCTGTCTTCGTGCCCTGCACAGTAGCTAACTGGGCATCATTAATAGCTTCCTTCAAAAATTTATTTCGGAGACTTTTCATCTCATCACTTGCCATTTCCTGAAAATGTGCACAAACACAACAATTTACCATTCAATTACATGAGCAAATTGCCAGAAATAGTAAACAGCCTATCAAGGTGACACAAATGTCACCTGAATGAACTGCCACTACCATGTTCACATTCAGAAACTACTGTTTCATGTATGACATAAGTTTTCAGTTAAACAATTACAGTACCCTCCAAAAGCAATAAAGTAAGAATAATATTACATATTGACACATCAATGCCATGCCACCAATGACATAATAAATATGACAAAAACACTTGCATGTCAACGTACCAGTAACAACCCTCACCAAGTTTCACCCCATCAACTGCCTGACACTCACACAGCTAAAACTGATACTGATAACATGCTTTAGATCATGTTGCATTATCAAAATATCAGTGTTAAATTTATTTTATACCTCTGCTGTCAAAACAGCCAGTCTACTGGCAGGAATTACACCAACAAGGAAGTTCATCCTCAAACCAGGATTCTTTATATCCTTAAGGTTGGCAACTCTGCTGCGCACTCTGTTCTTGTAACGCATGTCAGTATTCCGAAACTCTTGATAAATGGCTTCTTCTAATTCTTCAGCGAGTTCTTCAGGTGATGCACAGCCTTCTGGGATCTCTGTAATAAAATTCTGTAGCAGCATACAAGATACATGTATTTTTATAAGCTGTATCCAAATTATGAGCCGGTGTAGCTCAGTCAGTATAGTGACTGGCTACAGACTGGGCAACCAGGGCTCGATCCCCGATGGGGGCAGAGGATTTTTCCTCTAGCCTCTGTGTCCAGACCGGCTCTGGGGCCCACCCAGCCCTCTATTCAATGGGTACCGGGGTCCTTTCCCAGGGGTAAAGCACGGCCGGGGCGTGATGCTGACCACTCACCCCCATCTAGTGCCAAGGTCAAGAATGTGTAGGAGCTATAACCCCTCTCCCCCAAGCATCTACATGGTGTATAGTGGGACAGCTTTACTTTTTTTGCATCCAAATTATATGGTCTCTAACTTCTATTACACGAATCTGTAGTGATATGGATAACACCACTGTATAATGTTTACTGTTATTTAACAAGCCTGCCATAAGATTACAGCACAACAAACATTAAAAAACCATTGATCCAAGAAGGAAGGTGTTTAAAACGCAAAATGTTCAAGAGTTCTTCATCTAACTGGTGACAGTAAAACTGTCTTGCTACACCTCACGGAGGTGCTTGGGGAGTGAGAACATACAACTCCCACTCACTGTTGACCTCAGCATCAGATGTGGGTTAATGGTCACCATTACACCCTGACCTCTCTTTGCTCCTGAGGAAAGGGCCTTGGTACCCATTGGATAGGAGACTGGGTGGGCCTCAGAGGCTACAGGGGAAAAAACCCTTTGCACTTGTAAAGGATTTAATCCTGGTTTAGCAGTCCATAGTGAGTCAATATACTGACTGTGCTAACCTGGTTCACTTAGTACCAACAATATTCACCAACCATGTCCTGAAGGATTAACGGAAGTGGAAAAGTACAAAGCAGAAGTTCACGGAATGATGAGAACTGTGCGTGAAGGAGACTTATAAACTGTGACTATGAAAGTGTTACTCTCATAGCCTGCCTTGATTCAAAGTTATGGATAGATGAATAACAACTAACATATAACACCAATCTGCATACCTGAGGGCTCTAAGTGCCCAATTCTGTGCGACAATCTAAAAATTAACAATGTTGCAGTCACAGGTATTTCTCACAGACACCTTTCCAACTGCATATAGTAAACTCTCCAGACCAGGAGACATGAAAAGGTTTCCATTTGTAATTTAATTATTTCCTGTAGTTAAATTAATCTTAATTGCAGTGTTCCATTTATATAATAAAGTATGATAATATGGGAAATACCTACTAGTGTTCATACCAGAATCTCCAATCTTATTGTCTTTCGGGTAATAACACCAACCATAAAATACGCTGATGGAAACAGACCACTTCTGAGACGTAGGTGAATATGGTAAGATAAAATTATGAAGGGGGAACAAAAGGAAAGGGAGTATGAGAGGGTGCAGCATGGATTCAACTGGCTCAGGATAGAATTCAATAGTACTCATATGCCATAATGAACCTTCAGGTTCCATAGAAAGCAGCTTCTCAAAAGAGACTCTGCTCCATGGAGTAAGTTAATCGTAAATCAGATTTACATTCACTGTTTTGATCAACAATTAACAGTGTACATAAAAAAGACAGTTTGGTGAATGTTCTTTATTTTCTTACAGAGTTAATTTTAAGTTTTGAATGTGAGTATGAATGTAAGTTAGAAATCTACCTCCATCTCCTCTTACTGCTGTAGAAAGAAGTTCACGACACTTCAGTCGAACAGCGTCTGTTGTATTTGAAGAGGCGGGTGGAAATGTTGTCGGCATTTTCTTTTCCTTTTCTTTGTCTTTTGTTTCTACATCTTTTGTCTTCTCTTCCTTTTCTTTAGACTTCTTTGAGCTGCCCGCTGTTTCCTTGCTGTTAGGTGTATTAGGGCCTTACAAGAAATGCAAATGAGAAAGGTACAGTAGACTCCTGATTATCTGGGGTCTATCTGGTTTAAACGAAAATTAAAAATTAATTTATGAAATCTGAAGTTAAAGTTAAAACATTTTAAAAGAAAGGAATAAATACAATGGCACTACTTAACTAATTAACATAAATATGAAGTTTATGACAATAGAATGTTACTACTGTTCACTGGAATGCAGTACATGCTAACTTATTAACACTGTTACAGCAATTTCTCAATACTGTAACTGTATGTACTGTTACATCTCATATAAAATCCTTTGATATTAGTAAATATTTAAAAATTGAAATGTATGTCTATAAACAAACTTTTGTATTTCTACATATAGATGTTTTGCTTAACCTCTTACAGAAACCCACATGAAAGACCAAAAATATGGAAGAATTATATTAAAGCAGATCTTAGGGAGATAATTTGTTAGGGCGGCAGGTTGATGGAATTGTATCAGAATCATGTCCAATGGCAAACTTTGGTATTAATGGTGTCAAAAAATCAGGTTATATATGGAATATAATGCCTACCTGAAAGGAACTTCTTCCAGTTTTTAATCAGTGTTTTTGAGAGGCTTATTACTTCATCATCTGAACTTGACTTCCGTAGAGCATTAACTGTCATACCAATTCTTGTTTTTGTGAGCACCTCCAAGTTAACAGGCAGTTTTTGTAGTACTTTCAATAACTCCAGAGCCTGTTCCTGCCCCTATATAAGAATAAAAAATAACATTAAAAAAATATATTTTGAAGGGTATTGAAATAATCCATTGACACCACAATTAGTACTTCCACTCTATACTGTAAAGGCAAGTATATCAAGGATGAGACGTGTTGGTAAGGTAAAGGCTGAACTGTCCTCGTGCTTCAGTTCCAAGCCAAAAAAGATGTATGGGAAATGGAAGTAAAACTCTATGCATTCATAATTTTGGCAACAGATGTTGGTTAGTGATCACTCCATGCACTGGCTGTTTTTTCCCAAGGTGGTAGCTCCACGACTGTTAAGTGAAAAAATCTACATTTGAGGAAAATAAATCACACACATTTAAACAAGTTTTTATACTTATCTAAAAAATGAACAATCTGTGACAGGTTAAGCTCATTTGGGTTAGGTAGTTAAGTAAAAATTCAGAATATCTACTCTCCCAACGCATACTAAACACATGTACTGTGACAAATAAAAGCATAAGCTGCGACTCAGAAGAATTGATTGCATGTACTGTAAAATAATAACTTGCTTTTCATAATGTATGTAATGGTGTTAGGTATTATGAATAAAACAAAATGTGCAAGCAGGCTGATACGTGCATGATAATCTAGCTCAAGCATATTCAGTAATTAAATTACACTAGCAAATTGTTCTTGAATGATTAACCTCACTTTACAGCAAGAACTCTGTACTCTGCATTCAGTTTTACCACAGTTCATCATAAGGATAAAAACTGTCATGGGGAGAAATAAAAAAAACATTTCAAATATTACCAGAGGCAATCCTCAGAGGTAGAAATTTTCCATTTAAAAATATGTATTATAACCTGTTTTGACAAACTATATATGTAGGAAAAGTCAATAATTTCAGTATTATTCAATTATTACTGGAGAAAAATTCGTGATGGTAGCAGTTCACAATACATGCACAGTAATGCACCTTAACACAAAGTATGATATACTGTGAACATTTTATAACAAAATATCTAAAAGTTTCTGTATGAAGGATAATTTATGGGCAGGTACAATATATTATACAATGTCAAGACAACTGTTCATTGCATTGTATTATGCTAAACAAGAGGGGATACTGTTTTCACATATGAAAATGAGACTTAAACATTTGGAGGGAACAGGAGCAGAAAGTGAATGTCTGACATAATGCACTTATTAACTAAATATGGACATCATTTGTTATAACACAAACCTTTCTGAAAAAAATCTTTAAACACACTTACATGTGGCTCAAACGCAATAATAAAATATACTGTCAATGCAACCTTGGGAAGTACTGAAAAGCCGCTTAGTAAAACATTCGCTTACGAACAATTTTTAAACATTGTCGCAACAGTTATAATGCAATAAATGTTTGGAAATTCTAATTCTATTACTACACAGACAGGTTGGATAGGGTAACAAAATTGGGCCTAATGCCTTGTGAAAATGTCATGCCTCCCTCATGAATTAATATAGAAGTAACTGAAACCCACAGTTCCATCTCCAGAAGACATTTTATTCAACTTCTTTTGAATCCTCATTACTTCCTCTTCGACACTCATGTTTAATTAGGGGTATTTCGATTTATGATACTATGCAAACAATATTTTTTGTTCTCCTAAAACAGCACAAATTTTACAACCCCAACTACAAGTATCTCGTCTTGCAGCACGGTACACAACCACGCAGCCTACTTCCACACACTACCGCGCTCTATCATCGATGAATTTAACCAGACAACAAAAGATCAAAGCCCGCGCGATGCACTGTACAGTGGTGGCAACTACAGATAACCAAATGCTAGATGTAGGTATTTAGGAGGGAGGAGTAAGATGGTAAAATCTGCTCGAGTGTTTTTAGTGTAACGAAAAGCAAGTTTTCCCATTTTCTGCCACAATCGGTGGCACTGACATTTACGATACACTGTATTTTGCGTCCAAAGGTACTACCAATACGGGGACTTGCCTTCTCTTTGGATATTCATGAGTACTTATAGAAATGCCAATGGCACCTCTTTTGGCTCTGGTCCATATTATATTGTCTGACACTTTTTGTCTTACAAATAAATAATGTAAATACAACTGTAACAAGGATATGTGCATAAATAGTATGTCTTATGTTCTGAAACAACAAGCCATTCAGCTCCATGGTCAACTTGCAAAAGAACACATCTTCTGGTTGCTTGGCAAGCATGGAAAGAATACTTTTGAAATTAGCAAGAGGGAGGGGGAAACTTCACACATTTGTTACAACTTGAGACTTGTTAATGAACATGAAAAACTACCCATGCTCACATGAACTCTGAAATGGGGTCCACATTCCATGTATGGACCTAAATTTAATTCTTAATGCCTTAGATTGAGAAAAACTCAACCTGCGCAAACAATGTATATATTACACGGAGCTACAGTGGGGTCAAAAAATTATGGAAACCTTAAACTTAAAATTGGGATTTCACTGTATTCATATTCCTTGGGTATTCTCATTAATATTGAGGCCAGAGATAGTTACTTTGTGTAGATAGTATTTCAGTATGAAAGACATGGTAGTACATATATTCATGGTCAGTCACTAGAATGAGCTGATAATGCAGAACATGAGCATCCTGTCTTATGTTTGAAGCTTCATCTCAGACCTGACACTTGGTTGGTCTGAGGGTAATAGTGACTGAAACATAACACCATCTAACACTTCAAGTCACTCAGAAGTTATAAAGTGCAAAAAGTACATAAAATGAATGTATCACAATGCATACATTGTATCAGTCTGTCAGTCATTCGATAAAATTTGGTTCTGTTGGGGTCTGCACTACATACCTTCGGTTGAAATTAGTTTTGCTGTGTGGTTTACACGAAGCCCAAATTTAACTCTGTCACATTTCCTGTACTCATTATAGTGAAATTAATACATGACATTCTTTCACTCCACTGAAGTACCCCTTACCACTCTTCTCTATCACAGTTATTGGAAGCTGTGAGTACTGCATTATGCCTGTCTACAAACCTGATTTTCATAAAAATTATACACATAATATGGGTGATTTTAATAGAGGGTAAGCTGGCAAAGAACTATCCTGTTGTGGGGGAGAAGGAAAAACGTTCTGGCACAAATAAAGCGGTTAACTACAGAAAGTATTAAAATTCAATGCCTTGTAAGCATAAATATGAAAGATAAGGATTTAATCATGCATACAAATAAAGGGGTATGATTTCTGGCCTAAAAACAGAACACATATTACAGAGAAAATTCAGAGGTCTTTTGCAGCTAAGTATTCCATGTAAGTAATTGTGGCATCAATGCAATTAGTGATGATCTTAAACTAAACTTCATGGGAAGTAAGTAGGCATTGAGAAATGGTTATAACCTCTATATTTCCAATGCAAATATATTATTTAATGCCATTCTAAATGGCTATGTACTAGAATAATAACAAAGGTAAAAGTAAATGATAAAGCTGTTTCCCTTCTTGTGCGCCACTTCCATGAAGATATGAGGAAGAAGAGGTCTGTTTCCACATGTTTCAACAATGGTGAAAAGTTAGCTTCCCGCACTGGCCACTTTACCCCCTGAAAATAAAAGTCCCTGGTACACATTAGATAAAGTGGGTGGGTTACAGAGCTGGTCTTGACAAGGTATCGAAGAGAAAATCCCTGCCCTTGCTGTGAATTGAACTACTATTGTCCAGCATATAGCCAGGCACTATACTGACTGCAAATGCACACAAAGAAATAAAATCTTTTCTATGGTGAAAATAATATCCCCTTCTCTCCATCTGTGACAAGAAGCATGAATACAGATTATTTTGGCAGCAATTTCAAATTTCCATCAACATTTTGAAGCTAACTCTCAGTAAAAGAAACAAAATATCTGTAATAAGTAGTGCAACTTGACAAGGTTCCCTTACAATAGACTGGACTGTACATTACAAAAACATGCTTAACCCTTTTAAGCCAAAATGCAAACAAATAATATTTCATATTTCAGTCCATACCACAAAGGAAATGCAACACTTCTCTGTTACAGAGATCAACTGGTTAATGATGTTTAAGGACATAATCATCTGCATTCACAGTGAAAATCATATGAAACCCAAAAATACAAGATTACTGTTACTGTCTGTTATATCAGCTGGTACAACCAATTACTATTCAGCTTTAAAGGGTTAAACTAAAACACAAAAAAACAAATATTCCTACAAATTTTTTTATAATGAATATCTTCATAACATAGGTCTCATTAGAACAAAAAATATCAATTCAAAACTGAATAAAGAGCACTGAGTTTTTGTTCCAACCATTCACTTGTCCATGTAAGGCTCTCCTTAAAGTATCCTTCAAATTGATGACTTTACCCTTATGGCAGAAAGAAGATAACCACATGTTGATTTGCTCATATTATTCTGTTGTATTGTTCAGTTGCATCATTGCATTTCTTTGAATTACAGCAGTAAATAATATTAATATAATATTTTAATTTTCATATATTAAACATTACCAGTACAAAGAATTGCAAATCAATATTGTTACACCAATGCAGTTATCACTGGTATAAAAAATCAAGACAGTTTCAAGCTTTAAATAAAATACTGAGGAAAACTGTGTATACTATTACACATGCTTTGTCATAATACACATGTTATCTCTACAATATTTATAAATACTACCAGAAGACATGTAACAATATATATATACAAGTAACACATGTTTGGAACAAAGTAAAAACTGAGATTCAAGGAAAAAAGCTTTCAGCATTATATAACAGTAACACAGAGCTCCTCAGAAATATACAATTCTATCTAACACATAACACTTCATTCCATTACAAACAATTGACAAAAACTAAATTCCAGAGGTGCAGTGGAACAAACATAAATTCCAACACTTTTCTTGCTGGAAACCAAAATTTCAGTTCAAAATCATTTGGAGAATGAAACATTTCCTTCTTGCAAAGGGAATGCACACTCAACTTTTGCTATCCTTCTAAAACTTAAGAGAGAACTTACCAAAGAACATCATCTTATAATAGTAAAAATATTTTAAGTAACCAAAACATTTAAATGTAAGAGCAAAAATATGAACAAAGGTTATTTTCTAAGTAAGATTTTATAGGTTTTCACTATGGCGAGTATGAAGATGGCTGTCTTCTAGCTTATTTTCTTGAGTGTTCAATTATGGGACTTCATTTTTACTGCCGACAGAATAATGAAAAACAATGAGAATGAGGGAAGGGGGCACTGCACCTCTACTTCAATTCCTTGTTGAATAAAAGATGGTGTTCATGATTGATTCTACACTATAGGTATATCAGTCTGAGGTAGTTAATTTTCTATACATTGGACAACAAATTCAACACAATCACGACCTTTCAAAACTGGCTTTCAAAAAAACTACAGGAACTTAAATGTTCACATATTGCTCTAAAACCTGAAGAGAACAGCACCCATTCCATATTCACATCTAGATAAGATAATTCTGATGAATTGGTAAATAGGAAATATAATACAGAAACACAACAACTTCTTAACAAAATGCACAGTACTGAGTGAGGAAGAGAAATGGAAGACACATATACAGTGTTCAATATTGCATATTCCACAGTATATATATATATATATATATTACAAGATGACAGAATATCTACATATTATATGACACGTTGCCTAATTCCTACACAAAATAAGTACTTTACACAAATTCAGTCATGTTAAAGTTACGCAGTCACAACTTAGCTATACTAACACACATGAATAATATAATTCACCTGATAAGGCAAGTCACACACAGACGAGAAGGTCCGATACAGTCATCATGACAGAAAGCTCCACACTTTTTGCATATTATCATGGCTTTCAGATTGCAAGCACAATGGGAAGAATCCGTTCGTGGCACTGAGATGTGATTATTGTGAGCCTGCCTTGCGGCAACTCTCCCTCCACCCTGTAACACCGCAGGTTGTTGTGGGTATGAGTTAGTAGCCGACTGTTCCATGATGGCAATGTCACCAACAGTATAACTCTGAAGAGGAGAGTCAGACCCCACATCACCATACTGCATGCCACTACCACTGTCCCCTAGCCTACCTTTCCGCGTGATGGCCTGAGTACCTGGATTAGGACAATGCACTACAAAATGATCTCCATACCTGTTTGTGACATACCCTACCCCATGCTGTTGCTGTGAAGCTGCTGTCGCCAGCTGTGAACGTTCAACATCCACGCTAGCTGGACGGCCACGTCCCAACCCCAGACGCCCTCCTATGCTCACCTGGTTGTTGGATGGAGGTGCACTTGAGGCCCGTGGGGGTGGAGGTGCCCCCTTTTGACCACTGTTCAGCATCACCTGCACTGTTTCTGGTTGGTCACCCACTCCTGTGCGTTGCACCAGAATGTACTGGCCCACATGGCCAAGTTGTGTTCCAGCGCTCTCAGCTACCTGAAGCAAAGCTACATGTCATTCCCATATAATTAAATGTCAACTGCAAGCAAACAGGATCTTTCTTTTGTACAGGGTGATTGAAATGTCATGCAACCCATATTAAAATACCTGATGCTTGCAAATTCAATACAATTCTACTGGATTAATAAACTAATCAATCACCTCCTGCTACCAGAACTTTGTAAAGGCTTCCTAACTATCCCACAGACATTCACCCTCAAGATGGTAACTAGAATGTTTGCTAAAATGGAATATTTTCAACATTCAATGCAGCTTATTCCTGAAAGCCACAATCATACAGTGTTCTTCAACCATTTACAGACATGAGTACCCACCAAAATGAGCAATTTACTGAATTTTACAAATCCAGGTTATATCAAGTTTGTATTTTACTTTTTCCTCCAGTGTCTTTGTTGAGGTCTTTCTCTCCCCCATTTACAATCTGCATGCGTAACTATGTCCTGAAAAATTCTGGAAGGGTGCATAGAGCAAATTAAAACAAGCTGGCTCACCTCTGGAGGGGCTTGTGACTGGGGTAAAACAGCCATT